GTTATACACTCAGACACAAAGGATCTCCAAGTTTCTCAGTGTTGCTACTCTGAGTTTCGTGCAAAAGCACTCTTCAGGCAACTTACTCTTCTCTCACATCAGTATCCCTTTACATACCAGAAAAGACGAAAAGAAGCACCCTAGGTGGGAGTCACAGGTGGAGAAAAGAAGCACGCTAGCCAGTCTAGGTGGGAATCACAGGTGAAGATAAATGTGGCAAGTGTGGTAGTGTGAGCAATCGCGCAGGCCGGGTGGTGTGCATAAAGTGAAGTGTGGCAGTAGGATGCATGCACATTAGATAGCAGGAGTTCTGTATATGTGTAACAGATAGCAAGCGCAGTCTACAGTTCAGGTCACCTCCGATAGGAGGTACTTGGTGCTGTGGCGACATTTTGTGACCAGGCTGCATCTGGTGTTGAGGAGCGATGCCTTGTCACTCTTCATTATGGCGATCTTCTCCGATAGGCATAGGTTGCACCGCTTCGAGGTTCTTTTGTAGGCGCTGGATCTCTGCCTGATTCTCCACGAGATGTTGACGCCTTCACCTGCCTCCTTCAATGCCCATGCATGCTTTGACAATTCTGTGCTGTTTCTGTGTGGGGCATTCCGGAACGATGACGTGTGGTTGTTGAACCGGAGTTTGAACGGGGTTTCGGAGATGCCGATATACTTCTTCCAGCTGAGATTGGAGTCCACTGTAGCTTCGTATACTATCTCGCTGGCGTTGCAGTCCCCGTTGAGTGGGCAGTTTGCTTTGATACGGCAGTTACATCTCTTTTCTTCCGGCTGTCTGAGGACATTCGCGTTGTGGCCCTTGATTATTGAGGCTAAGTTAGGCGAACAGCTGTAGCTGACTTTGAGCGTGTTTTTGTTAAATATTTTTCTGAGGGCAGATCCTTCTGGGAAATGGCGCTTGACAAGTCTCAGGAATGTCGCGCCAACATCAGTCTTCACGGATTGGCTGTACGGTGGGTTAAACCAAATGAAGGTCCTCTTCCGATTCTTTTTCCTCCTGGCTTGTCCTTCCGTGTTCGCCGGTTCCTCGTTATAGACGAGTGCGTAGTTGAAGCCACTTTTTGAGAGAGCTGCAGCGTACGTGGGGGCAGCCTCTTCAAAGACTTCTTGATTGGCAGAGACGCTCGTTAGGCGCTTGTTGATGGACTGCGGCAGGTTTTTGATTACTATTGGAGGATGGTTAGACTCACGGTTGAGGTAGAGGGGCGTGTCCCCGGGCTTGCGGTATGGCTTGTAGGTGCCTGTTTCGAGGTTTAGAGTGACGTCTAGGAAGTCGGTTACTTTTCTGTTGACGTCGATTGTTATTTTCAGGCCGAGTGATTGTAACATGCCGATGATGTTCTTCCCTATCTTGTCTGCTCTCCAACCCGGCACTCTCTTTAGGGTAGCTAGGCCATCATCACGGTACAATCCGATTGATGGCTTGTCGATGTAGCTTGCCAGCTTGTTCAGGAGTAATGCGCCTACCAGCTGGCAGACCTCAGCTCCGTCGTAAGACCACATGGTTACGTCAAATCCGTTAGCGTTGTCCTTTTTTACCCATGTTTTTGATGCGTCAAATAGCAGAGATCTCCTCGCGTGCATAATGATGTCTACGTCGCTCTTGCTGACGTTGGTGTATCAGGCATCAGGAAAATAAAGAATGACAAAGATATAATAATCAGCAGGCCGACAAAGGGAATGGAGTGGTGATAATGCAGCGAAGTGATTACAATGACAAGATGAATGCTATTCTGGCTGATGCATCGAAGTTTCAACTCCTGGGACCGACGGAAACGCATGACCGCACTTACCTGGATGAACGCGCCTTGCAGGCATACCTATTTCGATACAAAAAGGCTGGAAAAATACTCAATATAGATTACGACCGGATCCGACCCGTTGGCTTGTGCTGACCTGTGCTCTATGGCGTACCGAAAATACATAAGAAAGACGTGCCTCTTCGACCAATCCTGTCCATGATCAATGCTCCCCAACACGAAATGGCCAAGTGGTTAGCCGAATTACTAAAGCCAGTCCTGAATAAATATTCCGCCCACGCAACTAAGGATACCTTCGAGTTCGTGGATGATGTAAGGGAATTTGGCCAGCAGCAGGTAGAGAACTCTGGATCGCTGTTCCTGTGCTCTTTCGATGTAGTCAGCCTCTTTACAAATGTGCCTCTCAAGGAAACAATAGATATCTGCATACAGTCGCTATACCATGATGATGAAATATCAGCCCCGCAAATACCCCAAGATCTTTTCAAGAAGCTGCTTTTCAAAGCCACGTCAGACGTGCAGTTCAGTTTCAATGGCAATATGTACGCACAGAGGGACGGAGTAGCCATGGGTTCACCCTTGGGCCCCGTGCTAGCCAATATCTTTGTTGGATATTTTGAGAACACAATTCCAGACAGTCATTGGCCCCAATTCTATAGGCGTTATGTGGATGACACATTCGCAGCATTTCAAAACCGGAAACTGGCATTGGAATTCTCTGAGCGTTTAAATAATCTTCACCCAGCTCTCCAGTTTACAATGGAGGAGGAGAATAATGGAGAATTGCCGTTTCTTGATGTATTGATTAAGCATTCTTCCACAGAATTGCTCACCACAGTATATAGAAAGCCGACGTTCACAGGTCTTTACACCCGCTTGGACTCGTTTTGTGACACTAGAAACAAAAATCAATTTGATCAGATCATTAACTTTCAGAGCTAAAAACATCTGTTCACCATCACTATTATCAGCTGAAATTGCTAAGCTAGAGGATATTCTGTGTTCTAACAGTTACCCACTCAAAGTACTCAAGCGAGTCATGACAAGCGTTCTTGAACCTAGCCCAGATACAGCTTCTGCACAACTTGAATCTGCAACGCGTATTATCACAAAATTGCCGTGGAAAGGGCAAAATTGCATTGCCTTCCGCAAAAAGATTAAAGCTGCAATTTAAACTGCTATCCTACAGTATCCCCCATTGTAATTTATACAACCAGGCCCGCATTCAGGTCTATCGCGAAGGATGTTTCACCAACTCTTGAAAATAGTAATTTTATTTATAAGTATGCATGTCGCTGTGAGCGGACGTACGCTGGTGAGACATGTCAGCGATTCTCGGAAAGGATCAAGCAGCATATCCCAGACAAGCTGTACAAGAAGCCGCCTGATAAACGTGTGGCAACAAGTGATAGTGCCATCACAAAGCATTTGCAAGTGCAACCTGAATGCATCCTGCAGGAACGCAACAGCAGCTTCAGTGTCACCACACCATCCCGGAACAGCGCGCACCGATTCACACTGGAGGCGCTGTACATTCGCAGTTTGAGGCCAAAACTGTGTCGACAAAAGAAGCACATCAAGGTGCTGCGGCTGTTCAAGCTGAACCCGGACTGACAACTTTGTCACGTGTTTGTTCTGGTACTGCATCCCCTTCATGTGTTGTTTTCCGCATTTATAGTACAGCAGTACACGATCACAATGTCCAAACAAATAGCTGTTTCGACCTTGTTAGGTCTCCTCAATGAAGCTCAGAGTTACAGGCCAAATCAATCGCAATAAAGTCTAATGAAGAACAAAGCATTTTCACACAGGCTCTAAGCATCAAGGTCAGAGGGCACCAGCTGTGATAAACACAGCGAGCTTTGTACCAGGGCAGATAACTTTGACGCACCAGACAGAAATGAGGGAGAGTAATACTCTAGAGGTAGTACATTCATGACTTCTGTTGTCCCTGAACGTCTATTACAATAATTACTTGAACTGTTTACCAAGTATGCAACACATGACAAAAAAAGGTGCTATATACATATAGGCTGTTCAGACTGGTCAGTGGAAAATTCTAACATAGATCTGTAGGAGTTAGTCAGTCCCAATAGTTGTTAATGCCCCTCCACACTAGGCACACTTTTTGGATGACAAAGAGAAGAATGTATGTAGGTCTTCCGTCATGCAAGAGCATTAGGATGCACACGGCCACAATGACCTTGAGGGGTAGGATTGAATTGAGTTAAAGTTCATTTGAATACCTAGACCGTCTGCCGACCCCGGCTAGGTAATCCGAGAAAACCGTTTACGTCTCATGTCAACTGTAATCTTTCTGCACGCTTTTGTTCAGCTTTCATTTGAAGGCATTCGTGGACGTGACTGGTATGGGGACATTGCTATCGATGACATACGCTTAGAAGACGACTGCTGGTATGGAATCACATCTGCCAGCTGTAAGTTATGTTCAACATATCTGTATATTGCTGGTGATGTCAGGTGGTGATGTCAAGGGGTGATGCCGGGTTGTGATTTCCTAGGAGCAAGATGGGAGTTGCATTCATTGCGGCATCATTATTATTATGTACTTTACAGTCACATAGGCAACTCGGAAAGTCGACAATACGACGTAAATTCTGCCAGTCTTTGAATGAGTCAGCGCCGTTACCATGGTTACATGATCTAAATTGTACAGGAAATTGCTCCGAGATGGCACCCTAGTGCCAAAACACTCCTAGAGACCCACTCTATCAGCTAGGATAGCGCTAGAAATGTTGGACTCAAATGTACACAGGACTTTTGAAAATTGAAAGTGCCCAAGCGACTACTTGGCCTGGCATGAAGGAAGCATTTATGCAACCAGTTGGATTTTAGGTGTTTTCCACTTTGGGGTCGGTCTGATCTACTCACCACCCATCGCTTCAGGAGCTGCATCTGGGCCTTGATTCATAGAGGATAGTGGCGCTCCTACGGATGCGGAAAACTCGGGCCTCCAGCCCAGTCTCACGCAAACTGTGAATGTTTTCATTGAAGTGCAGAGTGTTTCATGTTTGGAGAGGCTCCTCGCCAGACATGTCGAAAATGTTCTAAGACCAAGGTTGAAATAGTGGTAATTTCTTTTCTAGTTCTTGTTCTTCTTCTTCTCTGTTGACCTTATGTCCAGTGCTCAACTGCAGTGTACCAGACATACAATTTGGTATGAGTAATGCTTCACTCATTCAATATGGCGCTACTGTTCAGTTTACATGTGATCATACATACTTTCCGTGGGGGAATCCATCAGCTACATGCAACCGTTATGGTACATTGAGCTCAGTGCCGATATGTTATAGTAAGTGTAAATTACTTTCTTTACTGGAAAACCTGGTGTAAGCGACCTCTTGGTTTAGCGACGATGTGCTCTTCACAACCGCTTTTCCATGCACCAACAGTTCTACACAGACGCTGTGGGACCTGGTTCTAAAGACCACCTGACTTTAACGACCGGTTTTGTTTGCACCATGGGGTGGTCACTTAAACCAGGTTTTACTGCACAGCTAGCTAATACATGAGCTGTGATCAGATTAAACCAACCAGTAGCTTTTGCCCAAAAGTAGAGCAATCCTGTTTTGTAGAGTTGCGCCGAACTGGTCGTTTTCAAAGAAGAAAGGAGAGGGATCCTTGCTGATTCGAGTGTCTCGTGTAATCCCAATGCGGCTCACCATCAGGTCCCGATCATGTGGCCTTGAGGTTTGGTACTTCGCCTCAAGAAGGCTCCAATATCCTATGCTGTGCGCGCGGTGTGGCACTCTGCTTTTCGTCAGGCGCACAAAAAGAAAGCGTGAAGCGTTTTAAAATTGTGAAGGGGGAGGATGTTGGGTGGAGTTGGTATGAAAATGTCCGTTATTGTAACAAGCGCTGAATTGACCCCGGAAACCCTGAGTGTACCAGCACAGAACGAATGTGTGAGACGATAGCGCATGCCTGGTGTCATGGTGTGAAAGCCCAACGCACTTTGAAGTCAGGTGCAAAGCAAAAGGAATTGATCCTGTATGCCTGTGCCTTTCACAATCAGCAGAAACACTGAAATTGACTAAAATTGTTGAAATTGAATATTAATTTTACTTCATGACTGGACTGATGTCATCATGTACTATGGCACTGCTGGTTTACTTGCATTTTAGCTGTTTGGCCGGAATGGATGCTGCTCTGCGGACTTTGGTGAACTTTACCTGCGCTCGTGGTACAGCGGAAAAGGAACATACATACATTATCCATATAAAAATCGCTCTGTGAGCGGTTCTGAAAAACCTTTACTGGTACTGCCCCGTCGTAAAAGTAAGAAATTAGAACTGGCCCATTGTCCCCCCAAATGCGAACTGATCCACCTAAATCGCGAATGACGGGACCCGAACGCACCAGTAGCACGAGGTCGGGAGGGCACAGGATCACGGCAATTATCATAGGGTAACACCAGTAGTAGCAGTAGAATTTATTATTTTGATAGGGAAGCCTACCGCTAGTACAGTACATGGCCTATGGTCCGGACCAACGTCCCCATCTGCATCCACCGGTAGGAACCTCGTGCTACTGGTGCGTTCGGGTCCCGTCATTCGCGATTTAGGTGGATCAGTTCGCATTTGGGGGGACAATGGGCCAGTTCTAATTTCTTACTTTTACGACGGGGCAGTACCAGTAAAGGTTTTTCAGAACCGCTCACAGAGCGATTTTTATATGGATAATTTCAGCTCTTTTTCTGTTCCCTCCCCACCCCAACCCCGAAGGTAAACATGATGACCACGCGCGCGATGTACTGTATGTAGCCATGCGACTGCAATAACACACTGATACATACCAGCCCTCCCCGCCTGGCTACCCCGCACACAGATACACAAACATGTGTATGCACACGGCACACACACGTGGCCACGCACACATACGCACATGCACACGACACAAACAGGAAATTCTTCATGTATAATGCCATGCAAAGCAGTGGCCACCGTACTTGAGGAAGTCAGTTGTGAAACAAAAATAATTCAACTACAGCGTGTAGACAAGCTGACGGCCAAAGCACAACATAGCAAACATGACATTTGCCCAAGGATTGCAGTTTGCAGACCATGCCATGGAAGCAGCGAATACAGAATGTAATATCATACAAAGTGACAAGCAAGGACGTGGCGTGGCCATCATACACCAGAAACTTGCAGAAAGTCACATATCCAACAGATAGAGAAGTGAACAGCAATCTGATACAGCCCACACAGGACAAAGCGGACCTGATACTCGTCCCAGGATCGCAAGTGGCAAACCCTTTTCAATGCATAACATGCAGGTGTACGTTAGACGCATGAACATCTGACCGTGTCGCCAGCATACAATGTCATCACATGTTTACCCCACAAGTTACACACATGCACAGGAGAAGCACAATAAAAGCAATAGAGAAGTACGATGTGGTTGCTGAAGCATCTTCACACTTCAAATTTAGACTTCAATGTGGTCGTCACGGGATGATAAACCTGCAAGATACAAGTGATGAAGAAAGAAAGCAGAAGGTCGTGAGGTAGGCTATGAGACACCACAAACGGTTCACCTACTTCTGAAGTACATTTCTGTTCAGGGCTAGTGCACTCACACGGAGAATTGTCATAATCGAGCATTTCCCAAACTGAGAAGTGCAATGAAATCCACTTGCATGCACAGGAGCAATTTTGCAATATTATGATGCTCAATTCGACACGATCTGCGATGCTGCGTGCAATGTGCCCTGCTGTCATGATAGTGACAGTCACCGCGGTATGTTTTGTCAACGTCGCCCGTGCACTCTACTGTCAAGTCCAAAGTGCTCACATACTTGGCAATGTTTTTGCAGTGATTAATTTTTTCCTAGTTATGTCACGGGTAACTTTAATGAAGTACCCACAGGCCGTGTCGATCTGCACATCGTCCACTCTCTCATGTACTTGGCCTGCTTTGTCTGTGTATCCATTTCATGTGCGATCCACAAAATCGACTAGACAGTGGGTGCAATACGCTCTCTACCTGAAGACGTTCTTCTGGCGACATCTCGCCATGTACTTGGCCTGGCTTTGTCTGTGTATCCATTTCATGTTCGATCAACAAAATCTCAATGCACTACAGAGACTAGACAGTGGGTGCAATACGCTCTCTATCTGAAGACGTGAACCATTAAATTTTTTGGAAAAGTTATACGTACACCTGAAACGTAATGAAGTACAGGAATAGAGAGAGTGACTACAGGGGCGTAGGAGGGGTTTTGGAAGTGGTACGACCGAAGGTCGGTGCGGCCAAAGGCCGTGTTGGAGGGGGGTCCGGGGGACCTCCCCCGTGAAAATTTTGTAAAAAGGACACAAAATCCTGCGTTAAACGCGTTCTGGCACACTTCTGGCGTAGTGTGCAGTCGAGTCGAGTACAGACTCAGTACTCAGTAGATCTACGACTGCAGATGCATAACAGATCTACGACTCAGTACGAGTAGATCTACGAGTCTAGCAAGGTCAAAGTCTGATGCGCATATACATGTATGCATCGATGGATCCTGATTTTTTTATTACGGTTTTGCACGTTCCGGACGGACCACACTTTTCGAAAAGTGGTACGGCCATGGTCGTACCAGTCGTAGCGGGTGCTACGCCCCTGGACTACAATACGCTCTCGACCTGATATAGTGATAACGTGAGTACAAGACACTCTCCACCTGATAACGTGTTAGAAGGTAACATGTCTACAGTCCCACCGTACCCTTCCGACACGACTGTGGACCATTAAATTTTTTGGAGAAGTTATACGTACACCTTAAACGTAATGAAGTACAGGAATAGAGAGAGTGACTACAATACGCTCTCGACCTGATAACGTGAGTACAAGACACTCTCCACCTGATAACGTGTTAGTAGAAGGTAACAGGTCTACAGTCCCACCGTACCCTTCATCATTCCTCATTCACCATCGCGCGATACCCTGGCACACACTGGCAACATATCAATGGGGTGCCTTACCGTCGTCTAGAAGAGACGTCTTCGCAGCAATATTTTCCCTCCTGCGCATTCAGTCGCCGACGCGACAGCGTTCACGGGGCCGTTCCAGTTGCGGAAGACATTCGATTCATCGGGCCAATTCAGCAACAGGGCCGTGTACACACACAGGGGGCAGAGGAGAGACATTGTTAGTGGACAAGAAATATGCAGTGGCAAGTGGCGAGTGCCGCATGGATGTCAAGTTGTCATGCACAATTCAGCTATTACTTACGGTCCAGCCAGTCCTGCCATTGCTCGCTCGTCCTCGTTCCTCCTCGTTCGTCTTCCTGCACGTCTGCACTTCTCCTGCCACCGTTGGCTTTGCGGTACGGGGGTGCCGGAAGGAATTCCCACCATGTATCCATGTACATGAAGTCCCACCATGACTCTCCATGTACATGTCCACGGCCACGTCAGCAGTTTGTATAGTACCGGAAGGAGTTCCCACGATGTCTCCAAAGGCCTAGAGCGGACGTCTTTGCAGCAATTCTTTTCGCCCTGCGCATTCAGTTCGCCGACGATGTCTCCAAAGGCAAAGGCCTAGAGCCTAGTAGAGGGGACGTCTTTGCAGCAATTCTTTTCACCCTAGTACCCTGCACATTCACTCCGCCGACACGACAGCGTTTACGGGGCCGTTCCAAGTGCAAAAGGTCCACGTCAGCAGTTCTCAACTATTTCGCGTACGGGATAGTCGCCGCGACAGCGTTTAAGGGGTCGTTCCAGGTGCAAAAGGTATCCATCAATGGCACTTTGCAGTATGGGGTACGGAAAAGGGGCCTCCTCGTTCGACTTCGTCGACTTCTGCAGTTCTCCTTCCCGTCAGGGGTACCGAAAGGGGCCTCCTCGCAGTTGTCCTTGCCGTCAGGTCCACGTCATGCAATTCTCAACTATTTCGCGTACGGGATAGTCGTCTTTGTCGTACGCGACATCGGCGTTTACCGAGTGGCATTGGCACAAAGCAGACCGTTGACGGAGTCACGTGTCAAAAAAGTATCAACAACGTGTCAACTACGTGTCGACCACGTGTATAGCGGTACACTCAGCGGTACACTAATTCTCGTGCCATTCTCGTGTCACAAAACTGGAACATCGAGTACCAGTATGGAAAGGCTTCAGACAGGAAGCCTTTCCAATGTGTATATTGTTCCCGGTTTGAAAGTCGAGACACGACTTTCGTGACTTGGAAAAGGAATAGAGAGCTTCAAAGTCCGTCTCTAGCTGATTTTTCGAGTGCTCCTTGTGTATTTTGATGGTAATAGAAACTTGTCAGACCAAAGTCAACGCGGCGGTAGACGTACAGTTTTCTTGGGGATGTTTTCAGTTGTTTCGTTTCGTATTTATGCCAGTGTTGTGATGGTAAAGTGGAGAGGATGACTCTCTTCCTCTAGACTTCATTCGGCCACCTTTGCTTCGTTCTCAGTGAAAAGACACGCTGGAAAGAAGGTCGATTTACAAAAGTATGTTGATTTTCATTGTACCTGATGACATTCCATTATTAACTGTGTTAGTTTAGATGTGAATTGACTAACCCCGAAGCCCCCCTCCCTCAATCCACTGAATTCACATACATGTATGATCGCACTTGTGATCAGCCATGCCCCCCCCCCCCCCCCACACACACACAGACGCACACCCAGGTGGTTTTTGCAGGATCCTTGCACACATGGTTTTTGTTCTCATGGTCTGTGTTTGTACCTGATCTCTTTTTTATGACTGAAGGGCTGACCGGCATAAGAATTTGCAGGGCACCAACAATTATCACAAGAATAACTGAGAGGCTATTCAATTACACTTCAGCAAAAGCACTGTGTAGCAGTCACAATGGCACAATTCTCTCTGAAGCGTCGTTCCACGATGGGTGCTCAATTGGCTTGGCAGACCGTAACAGAGTGGCGTGGAGAGGATTACCTCTCAAGAATAACAAGGCGTTGACTACAAATGCTGTCCCAGTAGACCTGTCCCAACTTTTTCACGTAGTGTGCGAGATACGTAAGTCTACCTTCATTCTGTTTAGAAGAGAGACTTCTTTCTTTACACATACAAGCTCATAGAAGAGCTGATAACGTGGTTATAAAACCCTTTACGAGCCGTAAATAGGATAAATGCATTGCATTTGAGGCATTGGATTGTGACAGAGTTGGAGAACGGCAACTGGCGGAGCAGAAACCTCAACATCAGGCAACACCATCACCCGAATCATCGCGTCCACACACACCGAACAAAAGAAAAGAGAGCACGAAGTCGAAATGCAGGATGCGGGCTTCCTTTGCTTCCTGTTGTTGTTGTTGTTGTTTCAAATCTTTATTCTCGCGATGGCCTGTGGCCAATAAATGCATTGCATTTGAGGCATTGGATTGTGACAGAGTTGGAGAACGGCAACTGGCGGAGCAGAAACCTCAACATCAGGCAACACCATCACCCGAATCATCGCGTCCACACACACCGAACAAAAGAAAAGAGAGCACGAAGTCGAAATGCAGGATGCGGGCTTCCTTTGCTTCCTGTTGTTGTTGTTGTTGTTTCAAATCTTTATTCTCGCGATGGCCTGTGGCCAATAAGAGATAATAATTATAGTAAGATTAGTATGATGCGGAAACTTCATGGCTAGCAGTGATCAAACTAGATGTACAGGTGAGCGTTGCTCGTGCACGAGCAGATTGATTTGAGCAGCATGGTTGATATATTTTGCTTAAACAAAGCTGGTGATTGAATATCGCGTAACGTTGATGAGAGGCCATGGAAATAATGGAGAGATTTGTACAGAGGGGAACCCAGGCAGTGGTCGGTTCTTGCAGTTGGCAAATGGCAAGTGCGAGTGTACCGAAAGCTAAAGCCTGTATTGGCACGATTTGGGGTTGCAAGCATTAGAATATGAGTTGGGCGAAATTGTGGTGGATGGAGTGAGAAAACGCTATGTGAGCGCATTCCCTCCCTGGAGGAACATGATTGTAAAATGCTCGTGCTGAAACTTCATGCCCATTCCCTCGCAATGTATAGTTGGAATATATCGTCCTCCTAGGCATCCAGTCCTCATGTTCACCCAATGCTTAGAACGCCTGCTCATGATAGAAACTGTATTTTAGCTGGAGATTTCAATGCACGTCATTCCCACTGGAAACCTTCAGACCCTAACGACACAGCCGGACGCCGAGCCCTTCTCACACTCTTTACCACCTACGACCTCTGTGTAGAAAATACTGAACATGGTACAAGGCCCACACCAACCTCGAATTCACTCCTTGACCTGACTGTAACCAATCGGCGAGACCTCCCATAACCATCTAAGATTCTCTCACCTGTTGCTGATCACTGTCTGGTCATCACGTCCATCTCTCTGTACCCACATCACGTGAGCTTGTCACCAGTAGTAAGGAAAGCAAGTGGATCCGGGATATGCGGTGCATTAACCACTCCTTGTTCACCACACTTCTTCTGAGATATCCTCCACTTGAAAGAATCCAGGGTGGTGTGCATATCGACTACGTTTCGACTGTTTGGCACAACCATGTTATGGCTCTGTTCGACAAGTGCATGATATGGCGGCTCATTACTACCGGGCACAGGAACAAAAAACCCTGGAACAATGCCCATCTACAGAAGCTGAAATCAAGGCAGAATAGACTATATCGACAGTTTCTGAAACATCCCCAAGAGGATCAATTGCTCTTGCTGACACATCAAAATGGCTGAGTGCAATGGCAAGAAGCTGAAGTTAGACTGTGTTTTTCCTCGACTTTAAGAAACCTTTTGATCGTGTGGATCATCAAGCATTGCAAAATGCATTAAAGGAATTGCTGATAGGCCAGAAGTCGCCTGGCTCCAAAGCTTCTTATCTTAGCGGAAGCTGTCTGTAAGGTTGGAAGGACAGTATTCCTAAGCCAAGGTCCTCACCCGTGGAGTTCGGCAGTGATCGCATCTTGCGCCTATCATCTTATTATTTGTTAATTTCCTGCCCTTATTAATCACCTACTGCACCCCATGCTTCTTTGCTGACGATGTCACTCTTCTGTATGTACATGATAACAAGAATTCCCTGCAGTGGAATCAATCTCGTGTAGGGAGCGACATTTATGCCTACCAGCTATAGGCCAGCAACGTCGGTGGAGAGTACTCACCAGCCAAAACGACTCAGATCCGTAACTACAGTAACGACCACCCTATCCGGCTCTCTTCCCAACCTATCACCATCGTTGAAGCTGCGAAGCATCTTGGAGTGTATTTAACACCCGACCAGTCCAACACCATCCACCTTCAGACCATCCTGAAAGCCTCCCAACGTCGTGTTAATCTGCTATGCTTCATGGGACGGCATCTTGCCTCCACAGCCTTTCTACTTCTATATAAAGGTTTTGTCCGACCCGCCCTGGAACACGCCACCTCGGCCTGGACCTGTGCCATCACCAAAGCTGAGCTGGAGCGTTTAAATATTTACAAGCCAAAGTAGCTAGGAAGTATTTGCTACGTAAAAAAGTCAATGTAGATTGATGCGAAAAGAAATCCCAGTTAAACGCCCTTTGTGACTTAGAGTCGTTGCACTTTCGCAGACAAATATCAGCTCTTGTTACTCTATTTAACCTTATACATATATCTCTCGGACATCTTCAACATGTTCACCTTTCACTGTCTTCAAGTCCAAGAAGATCAAACAAACAAAAAACAAAACAAAATTCATGGTTCGCGTGAGACTCGGTTTCTCTATATAGAGGCATGGTTTTCCACATCCGTAGGAACGCCCCACCCTTCAAGGAACAAGGCGCAGATGCAGCTCCTAAAGCGGTGGGAGGTGAGTAGATCAGCACACCAGCATGTGGTCAAAGACCGAAAATCCCATTCACTGCATCCATGTTTTCCTCGTGCCAGGCCACGAGTTCCCAATTAACTGTGGGTCGCAGCTTGGCTGGGAAAAATCCTTCTGCTTCCAAGCAGGACTTGAACCTGGTACCCTCTGTTTCTCAATCATGGTCTTAGACCATCTCACTATGCGCGCAACAAACTTAACATCAATTATCACGATGTTCGTTTTTCTTCCCTCTTTTCCAACAAAGCCGCAATGCTATGGAATTGCCTACCGCCTTCTTTTACCTCTATAACCAGCCTCCTGAATTCCAGTATTCTCCCTATCAGCATTTTAGCCGATACATTCATTCCACTGACGGTATCCCAACTCCTTACTTACCAGTTGTTGTATGCCTAGATCTATTTCCTTAGCCTATCCTTGATTAACTGCTCCCTCTACATAAAGTTCTCATTTCATTCTTCTTGCAGGAGATCCCCTCGACAGGCGCAAAGCCTTTGGAAAATCCTTAAAAATATAAATAATACAAAATACAAATAATTAATATATTATAGTCTTGATGAACTGTTAAGCGGGATTCACAGAAGCTTTTCTGCGATGCGACACGCGATGCGACGCGATCTGCGATGGATGCGTGCGATGCGAACTCGCAAAATACCATTCACAGAAGAAGTCAGCGATGCGACAAAGTTTTGCTGATTTGGGTACGTCACCATGATATTCGCGCGGTTTGACACAACTTGTAAAAATTTATAGGCAACTCTTGCACCTTTGTACAACTTTGCTGTAGAAAAGGTCAAAATCGTACACCAAATCGCTTGTCGCATCGCATCGCATCGCAAAAGTTGAGCCAAGCTCAACTTCTGCGATGGCATGCGATGGCCCAGTTGCGTCAGTTGCGTGGGGTGCGACATGGCTGCGATTTGGGGTTTTCCCGGTTTCGCGCCTGTCGCATCGCGTGTCGCATCGCAAAAAAGCTTCTGTGAATCCCGCTTTAGTCATAACTCGTAACATAGTATTATTTCTTTTCTCCTAAAAAAAACGATTGGATCAATGACCTACTTCTATTGTTTGCCCATATTTTTAGCCTGCCTTCCTCGACAAGATGATCAAATGGAGTCTAAAACAATGGCTGATGATATCTCTTGTCGATATGATGGTAAGCACTGTGGAGCAGAACCAGTGTGCGGAAGCACACAAAGGCAAGCAAACATATTCAGGGGCTGAATTCTTGATAATCACTAGGATCTTTACAAATACCCAAACTGATTTTAAATCAGTATAATTATATTGCTCCTCGAGGAGCCGAGGAGTTTGATTTTAAGGTAGCTCGGGCCGTTATCGCGAAAAATATCGGCGTTCAAAACCACTTTCCGTCCGATTTTTGTTCAAAGTTTCAAGCATCATGAGGGCAAGCTGTTACTCCCAAAATTTCGCTAGTGTGCAAGCCACGTTATTATGTCAAGAAATAAGAGAAAAACCTACTTTTACAAACAGGAAATCGCTTTTCATTTGTTTCAATTTGGCAGGCTTGCACATGTACTAAACTATGATATAAGTACATTTCAATTCTTTCTTTGGAATTCAGGACCACTAGTATCACACATTGTTTAGGCAAATCCACTGGAATCAATTACGAGAGATGATCATTTCTTCGCATATTTCTGTAAACAGTGGGTAAACGAGTCCAATGAGCTAACATCATTTTGACATAACTGCATGATACTGATGTAGTGCGATGCAACTAGCAAGAAAATTTCAATCATTTTCAGGCCAACTTTGCAAAATTTAAATTTCAAAGCATTCTGGGCACCGTATCGTTTTGCGGTTCAGAATACCAGTTTCATCTCCTAACGCAGAAGCCTGTACTTTCAACCAGTGTATCTTTTGGCATATAAAGCTTCTGTGACATGCTCTGATACTATGGGAATTACTAACATGATTACATGAAGCAACAGATGGAAGTTGGAAGCATTTTATTGTCCTCAATGCAAACCTGTCTCTTTCTTAGAGAACGCCTTGTTCGGGCTACTTCGAAGGGCCATAACCCCTCCAAAGTGCCCCATTACGTACCCTAATACCTGTACAGTCGTCCCTCTCTAATCCGGCACTTGTTTATCCGGAACCCTTGCCAACCGGCGCACTTTCTGACGAAACCGATTTTTTTCGTTCAATTCCTGCATCCTAATCCGGCACTTGAATTCCGCCTCCGGCAGTGACTTTTTGAAACGAATCGCTCAAACTGCACGTAGTTTGATTTCATAATCCGACAGTCGTAAATCGCGTACCGTACAGGTGCACTCCTTGCCAGGCCAGGCTAGGCCGGTCTGGTCAGTGCCGCGCGTGCGCGGGGCAACTTCAGAGTACAGTTCAGTTGACAACTGTACTCGACCTCGCGCGGGAAAGTTCAGTTCGGTTGGTTGTTAGGACTTTTCCGAACCCTAACTCAATTTATACAAAGAGAAGGACCAAGGAACTACAAGTTACACTATAATGTCCACTAACATCACCAGTTACTAAACAATCAGCTTATGCGATAACATTGCACGACACTGACCGACGGTACTGATGTTCTACAACTAACTACAACGTTCGACCTGCATGATGTCGACTGCTTGCGTGGCCTTCTCAAGAGGGTCAATGTTGTCCAGGAGACAACGGCTAAGTAGTCAACCATACTTTCTTATTCTAGCAAGGAGTAGTGTTCTGCCAATTTTCAGGCGTGTGTGTGCGTGTGTGCGTGTGTGTGCAAGAGTACATGTGAACATGTTCTCTGTTTTACTTTATCACTTTATCACTGTGTATATTCCTCGAGAAAAGTTGAGAATATAAAGCCGTGCACCAAATACTTGGGTCGACACGGAAAAACTCTGCGTTTTGACGTATGATACATGCATGCAATTGGGTAGGGCCGGGTCAGAGGGCAGGATTTCTTAATCCAGCACCCTCGTTAATCCAGCGGAAAACGCCGTAGCAAAAGGTGCCGGATTAGAGAGGGACGACTGTATTGATTTTCTCATTCTGGACACTCATAGCATTGCAAAAAAAAGGTGTCAAACTGGTGAATTTTCGGAAAAAGTATTTCGGCATGAGCCACCTTAAAAACTTCTCTTTGCTTTTCGTTTTCACACTCCGGGAACCACTCGTCTTCCTTGTCATTGGTATCTTCCAGCATAGTCTAGGAGCCAAGTCAACAAAAGTCCAAGGAATAAGAAGTTAGTGTGACACCCTGTCCAGGAAGGATTTTTTGATGGATTTGGAATGGCATAACAACCAGCAAATGACACCTGAAAACCAGAATGTGCCAAAGTTGTCCGTTCAAGAGTTATGGCCTATTTACTAAAATTTCCATGGTTACCATAGCAACGTACATGTAAATTGCCTCTTTTTAGCCCGAGAGACATGCAATATGGGTCAAATAGATAATAAATGGCTGTCAAAGTCATAAGTGAAGATAGAAGTTCCCAAAACTGCCTTCAAAATAAGTGAAGATAGAAGTTCCTGAGGAGTCTTGTTGGGATGTCATCAAACCCAGGGCTTTGCAAGGATTAAGGGCTCCTAGGAGCTGTTCTACCTCGGCGGGTGTGGTTGTGCTTTGGGCAAGCTCTCTCTCGCCGGATGTTGGTAGAAGGATGTCGGGGACTGGCTCGTTGTCAACTGAGACGGACTTCTTGCTTTCTGAAATGAAGAAGCTGTTGAATGCTTCTGCCTGATCTAAGTTTGATGTGAGCTTCCTGCCATCATGGTTCAAAGCTGGCATTTCCTTTCTTGGTGAAATTCGAAGGGTCTTCATAAGTTTGTAGAGGTTTGGGCGGTTTGTATGGGTTTGGTCACAGTGGTTGTCGGCATTGGCTGGTTTATGAACGAATTTGGACTTGGCACTGCGGAGAAGAGTTGTTGTCTTGTTTCGCCTAGTTGTGAACTGGTCCCAGTCTTCAGCCGTCCGTGTGGAGGTATTTCCTGTATAACCTGCGCTTTGTACGGATATTATTTACCAGATCAGGCGTCATCCATGGGCGTTTTGGAGACACTGCAGATGATCTAGTCAACCGGAGTTGAGTGCAGAACTGGTGTGCGGTGCGAAGTAGAGTGTCACGCCAGAGCGACCACAGTTCGGTCAGCGAATATGACGGCAAGTCAATATTGCTTGCACGTGAAAAGTTTTGAAATTTGACTGTAGTGGTATATCCCTGGACATTTAAATTAATTGTTTTATTTTTGAACAACCCAGCCCTGTGTTTATTGCTCATTATGTAGCATATACTATAACACGTGTAGTTTTCCTCACTGTTTATTTCTATTGCATGATTTGCATCAGGAGATCCCCTCGACAGGCCATCGCCTCTGGGAGATCCTTTAATAAAGATTATTCCCGTAGCTATGCAGAAGACGTTACTTCAGTAACGTCTGGCGCTAGCCAGGGTCCACACAGCTTTAATTCCCATAGCTATGCAGAAGATGTTACTTCAGTAATGTTTGGCGCTAGCCAGGGTCCACACAGCTTTAATTTGGTGTTCTTTTGTGTGTTTGTTTGTGTCACGCCTGGCGCTATCCCGTATCTGTCCCGTACCGTACCGTACCATCAAACACACCTGGCCACACACAGCTGGCCGCACTATTCACATAGGGCTTTCAAACGCAAGATCATAACGTGAAGCAACTTGGAAGAATGAGTATGGATGCGAAGTGTATGGGGGAATGCATGCAGGGCGATAGTGCGGGTTCGAATCCCAGGTAATGCCTGAAAAAATAGGAAAATTGAAAAAATTATAACATCCCTATTCTTTTTTGGCCATCATCAAGGTGGTAGATGGTGTCGTATTACCCTCGACCGCACCTGTCCCGTACCTGTCCCGTACCGTACCGTACAATCAAAGACGGCTGGCCACAATGCATATTCAAATATTATTATTATTATTATTATTATTATTTGTGCTCCCGCGTCAATGGGCTCGCCCAAATTCGCTTGCACCGAACCATGCGAAAAAAAGGCCGCCAGCAGGCAGGCAGGCAAAGAAAAATAGAAAATGGTGTCACATAAACTAATACAAACAAGAATATCATTATTGATGACATTAATATACTGAATGAATGGCAAAGGCCATGTGAATATGGATAATACGGATAATCAGAGTACCAACAACAAAGAATGTAGCTCAAACCATTGCAGTGCCAACTTCCTTCACCAGTACTCTGCCTTGTACGCATCTGTAACTGCGTTGCACAGATATGTCCATTCACGGCGATCCAGTGCTCACTGAGCCATCAGCTGCAAGTCCCTTGGAGTCCTCAGACGGCAGCCGACTCGCTCCGCGTCTGGATTCAGCAGGACCGGTAGCGTGATCCGCGGCCGCCCACGGTATCCCGGCACGGAGCAGCCAAAGAATCCACTCATGACCTCCCTAGCCGGTGTGTGCTCATCTGATCGCAGGATGTGGCCAAACAACCGCCATCTTGCATTCACCAGAATGTTGCCAAGTGGAGCAGCACTGCAGCGCTCGTAAACCAAATCGTTCGACAGTCGGTTGGGCCACCTGATACCCAAGATATGCCGAAGTTGCCGCCGATGATACGATTCCAGCGCTTCAATTGTCTGTCGAGTGATGCCCCATGTGGAGCAGTTGTAAAGCAAGACAGGTAACACGAAGCAGTTATACAGCCGGACGCGCACCTCCAGACTCACTTGGTCTCTTCTCTTCCATAACTGGCAGAGGGACTTAAACGCTATCGCCGCAAGCTGCTTTCTGCGGGTGACATCCTCTGCATCACCAAGGAGAGAGCCGAGTTTCTTGACCATACGCCATGGCTCATCAGCACGATCGGCCTCTCGCTGGATGGCTGTGAATTCTGTCTTGGTCTGGTTGACGGTAAGGGACCATGTACCCAAGATGGTGGCAACTTGTGGCTCTAACATCCGAAGCCAATCACTAGAGATACTGATGAAGTCCACATCATCGGCGTACTCCACATCGTACGGAAGATGCCGGGCCACAGGTGCAGCCATTCGCTGTCGCACATCCTGCAGGGCAGCTTCCAGGTTCAGTGATAGGAAATCGTTTACGGCTGGCGAGATGCGCTTGAGGACTACCAGCGACATGACTTTGCGTAGAGTTGTCAGGAGGATGATCGGTCGCAGACTGGTTAAAGCACCCACCGGCTTTCCGGGCTTCTGGAGAGGTATTAGTGTGCCATGACCGATGAATGGCTCTACCCGGTGTTGCTGAAATAGGCTGTTGATGCATCGGCTTATGACGGGAGCAGTGGCATCGGCTGAGTACTTCAACAGCTCACCCGGGATGTTGTCGGGTCCTGCAGCTCTACCGTTGTTGAGTCTTGCTAGTGCTGTTTTCACTTCCTCCGTTGAAACGGGATGCTGCAGCGGTCGAGGTTCCCCAGTGAAGGATCCAAATTGCTGAATTGCAGAGTCACTGAGCTGCGATGAGAAATGATTCTTAATCTCCAAGCTTGCTTGCTTATCATTACATATGATCTTGCCCTGGCTGTCCTTAACGACGACTTTCTGCGATGGCTTTCGCCGGAGCAAGTGTACAGCTTGGAACATCTGGGCTCCATCCTTGAGCCTCTCTATCTCCTCTGCTCGCGATATTAGTTCATTTTCTCTGTTTGTGATGGATCTGTTCCTGATATCATGCAGGATTCGATTCCGGTCAGTCCTCAACATTTCTCGCTCGATTGGGTCATCACTGCCCTGAATACGGAGTCGGACATCTCTCTGCATGCAGGAAAGTCTCTCGACCTCTGGGTCATGGTGACGATGACTGGTCTTGGCTGTCACACCCACAATCTCTTTGCCCGCGTGGAAGATCTCTGCAGCTATTGCATCCCATCCGGTGTTGGGCTGATCTTCTGACACCCTCTGAATTCTGTCTGAGATGGCAAATGTTAGCTGATTCTGCAGTTGTGGATTCCCGGGTAAACGATGCACTGCTAGGCGATCCACCTTCTTCTGGCTGCTCCGCGCCGCCCGACCCTATATGCCGAATACTCGAGGTAAAAGCGTGCGAGCCACCACAATCCTATGATCTGATGTGACTTCCGTTCCATTGTAACTTCTGGCGTTGGTGAATAGTCTCTTTTGCGATTGACGGCACAGAATATAATCAATTTGGTTGTAAATGTTGACAATCTTGCCACTGGCTCTGTCAAGTCGCTGTCCTGTCCATGTGGTCCTGTGCCTTGCAGAGTGGCAGAACGCTGTGTTTGATAAGAATAATCTGTTAATTTCACAGAACTGCACTAGCGTCTCTCCGCTGACGTTTCTGATTCCACGCCCATGGCTGCCAATACATGATTCGTCCTGCTGCTTCGTTCCAGCTTTCGCGTTGAAGTCTCCAATAACAAAGAAGAGGGAACTCGAGTCCACGTCATGTATAGCTCTGGTCAAGGTATCGTAGAATTCATCCAATTCAAAGTTGTTGTCTCTGCAGCGAGCTGACGTCGGGGCATACACATTCAGGATACTCAATGTCGATTTTTTTCCCAATTGTAACGAAATTCCAGCGACTCGGTCAGAAACGCTCCAAACTCTCTCGACTCTCGGCTCCAAGCTGCTTCTTACTGCAAATGCCAGACCATAATGACGACAGGTTGGCGACAGCGTGTAAAGAACATAGCCACCACAATACTCTTGCCTCGTTTCACAAATTTTAGTTTCCTGCACGGCACAAACATCAATTTTGTACTTGGCCAAATCACGACAGAGCGCTTCACGTTTGACTTTCGACGATAGACCACGTACATTGAACGTCGCTAAACTAAATTGGCTTCCTTCCTGTCTGAAGAAGCCCCCATCCACTAGGTTCGATAGAGACATATCCCAAGAGAGGGAGAGAAGGAGTCACCCTCCTCAGCCAGGTTCAAATAGGGCTTTCAAATACAAGATCATAATGTGAAGCAATTTGGAAGAATTAGTATTTATGCGAAGTGTATCGGGGTTCCGGGGATGCATGCAGGGCGATAGTGCGGGTTAGAATCCCAGGTTATGTCTAAAAACAAAAAGTAGAAATTTATAAGAATTTATAACATCCCTATGCTTTTTTTGTCTAGGTCATCAAGGCAAAAAGCATGACGTAGGGCCCTGAGCTTCCCAGCTCTCTCGTTATATTATATTCTGCTTCTTCTTCTTCTTCTTCTTCTTCTCTGTTGCCCTTACACACCTTACCCATGGAGGGTAGTGGCGCTCCTACGGATGCGGAAAACTCGGGCCTCCAGCCCAGTCTCACGCAAACTGTGAATGTTTTCATTGAAGTGCAGAGTGTTTCATGTTTGGAGAGGCTCCTCGCCAGACATGTCGAAAATGTTCTAAGACCAAGGTTGAGATAGTGGTAGTTTCTTTTCTTGTTCTTGTTCTTCTTCTTCTCTGTTGACCTTATGTCCAGTTCTCAACTGCAGTGTACCAGACATACAATTTGGTATGAGTAATGCTTCACTCATTCAATATGGCGCTACTGTTCAATTTACATGTGATCATACATACTTTCTGTGGGGGAATCCATCAGCTACATGCAACGGTGATGGTACATTGAGCTCAGTGCCGATATGTTATAGTAAGTGTAAATTACTTTCTTTACTGGAAAACCTGGTGTAAGCGACCTCTTGGTTTAGCGACAATATGCTCTTCACCACCGCTTTTCCATGCACCAACAGTTCTACACAGACGCTGTGGGACCTGGTTCTAAAGACAACCTGGCTTTAATGACCGGTTTTGTTTGCACCATGGGGTGGTCACTTACACCAGATTTTACTGCACAGCTAGCTAGTACATGAGCTATGATCAGATTAAACCAACCAGTAGCTTTTGCCCAAAAGTAGAGCAATCCTGTTTTGTAGAGTTGCGCCGAACTGGTCGTTTTCAAAGAAGAAAGGAGAGGGATCCTTGCTGATTCGAGTCTCTCATGTAATCCCAATGCGGCTCACCATCAGGTCCCGATCATGTGGCCTTGAGGTTTGGCACTTCGCCTCAAGAAGGCTCCAACATCCTACGCTGTGCGCGTGGTGTGGCACTCTGCTTTTTGTCAGGCGCACAAAAAGAAAGCCTTTTAAAATTGTGAAGGGGAGGCTGTTGGGTGAAGTTGGTATGAAAATCATGGCTTTAACGACCGGTTTTGTTTGCACCATGGGGTGGTCACTTAAACCAGGTTTTACTGCACAGCTAGCTAGTACATGAGCTGTGATCAGATTAAACCAACCAGTAGCTTTTGCCCAAAAGTAGAGCAATCCTGTTTTGTAGAGTTGCGCCGAACTGGTCATTTTCAAAGAAGAAAGGAGAGGGATCCTTGCTGATTCGAGTGTCTCGTGTAATCCCAATGCGGCTCACCATCAGGTCCAGATCATGTGGCCTTGAGGCTTGTTACTTCGCCTCAAGAAGGCTCCAACATCCTATGCTGTGCGCGCGGTGTGGCACTCTGCTTTTCGTCAGGCGCACAAAAAGAAAGCGTGAAGCGTTTTAAAATTGTGAAGGGGGGAGGCTGTTGGTTGGAGTTGGTATGAAAATGTCCGTTATTGTAACAAGCGCTGAATTGAACCCGTAAACCCTGAGTGTACCAGCACAGAACGAATGTGTGAGACGATAGCGCATGCCTGGTGTCATGGTGTGAAAGCCCAACGCACTTTGAAGTCAGGTGCAAAGCAAAAGGAATTGATCCTGTATGCCTGTGCCTTTCACAATCAGCAGAAACACTGATATTGACTAAAATTGTTGAAATTGAATATTAATTTTACTTCATGACTGGACTGATGTCATCATGTACTATGGCACTGCTGGTTTACTTGCATTTTAGCTGTTTGGCCGGAATGGATGCTGCTCTGCGGACTTTGGTGAACTTTACCTGCGCTCGTGGTACAGCGGAAAAGGAACATACATACATGTGTATATTGTTCCCGGTTTGAAAGTCGAGACACGACTTTCGTGACTTGGAAAAGGAATAGAGAGCTTCAAAGTCCGTCTCTAGCTGATTTTTCGAGTGCTCCTTGTGTATTTTGATGGTAATAGAAACTTGTCAGACCAAAGTCAACGCGGCGGTAGACGTACAGTTTTCTTGGGGATGTTTTCAGTTGTTTCGTTTCGTATTTATGCCAGTGTTGTGATGGTAAAGTGGAGAGGATGACTCTCTTCCTCTAGACTTCATTCGGCCACCTTTGCTTCGTTCTCAGTGAAAAGACACGCTGGAAAGAAGGTCGATTTACAAAAGTATGTTGATTTTCATTGTACCTGATGACATTCCATTATTAACTGTGTTAGTTTAGATGTGAATTGACTAACCCCGAAGCCCCCCTCCCTCAATCCACTGAATTCACATACATGTATGATCGCACTTGTGATCAGCCATGCCCCACCCTACACACACACACAGACGCACACCCAGGTGGTTTTTGCAGGATCCTTGCACACATGGTTTTTGTTCTCATGGTCTGTGTTTGTACCTGATCTCTTTTTTATGACTGAAGGGCTGACCGGCATAAGAATTTGCAGGACACCAACAATTATCACAAGAATAACTGAGAGGCTATTCGATTACACTTCAGCAAAAGCACTGTGTAGCAGTCACAATGGCACAATTCTCTCTGAAGCGTCGTTCCACTATGGGTGCTCAATGGGCTTGACAGACCGTAACAGAGTGGCGTGGAGAGGATTACCTCTCAAGAATAACAAGGCGTTGACTACAAATGCTGTCCCAGTAGACCTGTCCCAACTTTTTCATGTAGTGTGCGAGATACGTAAGTCTACCTTCATTCTGTTTAGAAGAGAGACTTCTTTCTTTACACATACAAGCTCATAGAAGAGCTGATAACGTGGTTATAAAACCCTTTACGAGCCGTAAATAGGATAAATGCATTGCATTTGAGGCATTGGATTGTGACAGAGTTGGAGAACGGCAACTGGCGGAGCAGAAACCTCAACATCAGGAAACACCATCACCCGAATCATCGCGTCCACGCACACCGAACAAAAGAAAAGAGAGTACAAAGTCGATATGCAGGATCCGGGCTTCCTTTGCTTCCTGTTGTTGTTGTTGTTGTTGTTGTTGTTGTTGTTGTTGTTGTTGTTGTTGTTGTTGTTGTTGTTGTTGTTGTTGTTGTTGTTGTTGTTTCAAATCTTTATTCTCACGATGGCCTGTGGCCAATAAGAGATAATAATTATAGTAAGATTAGTATGATGCGGAAGCTTCATGGCTAGCAGTGATCAAACTAGATGTACAGGTGAGCGTTGCTCGTGCACAAGCAGATTGATTTGAGTAGCATGGTTGATATATTTTGCTTAAACAAAGCTGTTGATTGAATATCGCGTAACGTTGATGAGAGGCCATGGAAATAGTGGAGAGATTTGTACAGAGGGGAACCCAGGCAGTGGTCGGTTCTTGCAGTTGGCAAATGGCAAGTGCGAGTGTACCGAAAGCTAAAGTCTGTATTGGCACGATTTGGGGTTGCAAGCATTAGAATATGAGTTGGGCGAAATTGTGGTGGATGGAGTGAGAAAACGCTATGTGAGCGCATTCGCTCCCTGGAGGAACATGATTGTAAAATGCTCGTGCTGAAACTTCATGCCCATTCCCTCGCAATGTATAGTTGGAATATATCGTCCTCCTAGGCATCCAGTCCTCATGTTCACCCAATGCTTAGAACGCCTGCTCATGATAGAAACTGTATTTTAGCTGGAGATATCAATGCACGTCATTCCCACTGGAAACCTTCAAACCCTAACGACACAGCCGGACGCCGAGCCCTTCTCACACTCTTTACCACCTACGACCTCTGTTTAGAAAATACTGAACATGGTACAAGGCCCACACCAACCTCGAATTCACTCCTTGACCTGACTGTAACCAATCTGCGAGACCTCCCATCCACATCTAAGATTCTCTCACCTGTTGCTGATCACTGTCTGGTCATCACCTCCATCTCTCTGCACTCACATCACGTGAGCTAGTCACCAGTAGTAAGGAAAGCAAGTGGATCCGGGCTATGCGGTGCATTAACCACTCCTTGTTCACCACACTTCTTCTGAGATATCCTCCACTTGAAAGAATCCAGGGTGATGTGCATATCGACTACGTTTGGACTGTTTTGCACAACCATGTTATGGCTCTGTTCGACAAGTGCATGATATGGCGGCTCATTACTACCGGGCACAGGAACAAAAAACCCTGAAACAATGCCCGTCTACAGAAGCTGAAATCAAGGCAGAATAGACTATATGACAAGAAGCTGAAGTTAGACTGTGTTTTTCCTCGACTTTTTAAAGAAACCTTTTGATCGTGTGGATCTTCAAGCATTGCAAAATGCATTAAAGGAATTGCTGATAGGCCAGAAGTCGCCTGGCTCCAAAGCTTCTTATCTTAGCGGAAGCTGTCTGTAAGGTTGGAAGGACAATATTCCTAAGCCAAAGTCCTCACCCGTGGAGTTCCGCAGGGATCGCATCTTGCGCCAATCATCTTCTTATTATTTGTTAATTTCCTGCCCTCATTAATCACCTACTGCACCCCATGCTTCTTTGCTGACGATGTCACCCTCCTGTATGTACATGATAACAAGAATTCCCTGCAGTGGACTCAATCTGGTGTAGGGAGCGACATTTATGCCTACCAGCTATAGGCCAGCAACGTTGGTGGAGAGTTCTCACCAGCCAAAACGACTCAGATCCGTAACTACAGTAACGACCACCCTATCCGGCTCTCTTCCCAACCTATCACCATTGTTGAAGATGCGAAGCATCTTGGAGTGTATTTAACACCCGACCAGTCCAACACCATCCACCTTCAGACCATCCTGAAAACCTCCCAACGTCGTGTTAATCTGCTATGCTTCATGGGACGGCATCTTGCCTCCACAGCCTTTCTACTTCTATATAAAGGTTTTGTCCGACCCGCCCTGGAACACGCCACCTCGGCCTGGACCTGTGCCATCACCAAAGCTGAGCTGGAGCGTTTAAATATTTTACAAGCCAAAGTAGCTAGGAAGTATTTGCTACGTAAAAAAGTCAATGTAGATTGATGCGAAAAGAAATGCCAGTTAAACGCCCTTTGTGACTTAGAGTCGTTGCACTTTCGCAGACAAATATCAGCTCTTGTTACTCTATTTAACCTTATACATATATCTCCCGGACATCTTCAACATTTTCACCTTTCACTGTCTTCAAGTCCAAGAAGATCAAACAAACAAAAAACAAAACAAAATTCATGGTTCGCGTCAGACTCGGTTTCTCTATATAGAGGCCAAGTTTTCCGCATCCGTAGGAACGCCACCACCCTTCAAGGAACAAGGCGCAGATGCAGCTCCTAAAGCGGTGGGAGGTGAGTAGATCAGCACACCAGCATGTGGTCAAAGACCGAAAATCCCATTCACTGCATCCATGTTTTCCTCGTGCCAGGCCACGAGTTCCCAATTTTAAACTGTGGGTCGCAGCTTGGCTGGGAAAAATCCTTCTGCTTCCAAGCAGGACTTGAACCTGGTACCCTCTGTTTCTCAATCATGGTCTTAGACCATCTCACTATGCGCGCAACAAACTTAACATCAATTATCACGATGTTCGTTTTTCTTCCCTCTTTTCCAACAAAGCCGCAATGCTATGGAATTGCCTACCGCCTTCTTTTACCTCTATAACCAGCCTCCTGAATTCCAGTATTCTCCCTATCAGCATTTTAGCCGATACATTCATTCCACTGACGGTATCCCAACTCCTTACTTACCAGTTGTTGTATGCCTAGATCTATTTCCTTAGGCTATCCTTGATTAACTGCTCCCTCTACATAAAGTTCTCATTTCATTCTTCTTGCAGGAGATCCCTCGACAGGCGCAAAGCCTTTGGAAAATCCTTAAAAATATAAATAATACAAAATACAAATAATTAATATATATAGTCTTGATGAACTGTTAGTCATAACTCGTAACATAGTATTATTTCTTTTCTCCTAAAAAAACGATTGGATCAATGACCTACTTCTATTGTTTGCCCATATTTTTAGCCTGCCTTCCTCGACAAAATGATCAAATGGAGTCTAAAACAATGGCTGATGATATCTCTTGTCGATATGATGGTAAGCACTGTGGAGCAGAACCAGTGTGCGGAAGCACACAAAGGCAAGCAAACATATTCAGGGGCTGGATTCTTGATAATCACTAGGATCTTTACAAATACCCAAACTGATTTTAAATCAGTATAATTATATTGCTCCTCGAGGAGCCGAGGAGCTTGATTTTAAGGTAGCTCGGGCCGTTATCGCGAAAAATATCGGCGGTCAAAACCACTTTCTGTCCGATTTTTGTTCAAAGTTTCAAGCATCATGAGGGCAAGCTGTTACTCCCAAAATTTCGCTAGTGTGCAAGCCACGTTATTATGTCAAGAAATAAGAGAAAAACCTACTTTTACAAACAGGAAATCGCTTTTGATTTGTTTCAATTTGGCAGGCTTGCACATGTATTGAACTATGATATAAGTACATTTCAATTCTTTCTTTGGAATTCAGGACCACTAGTATCACACATTGTTTAGGCAAATCCACTGGAATCAATTACGAGAGAAGATCATTTCTTCGCATATTTCTGTAAACAGTGGGTAAACGAGTCCAATGAGCTAACATCATTTTGACATAACTGCATGATACTGATGTAGTGCGATGCAACTAGCAAGAAAATTTCAATCATTTTCGGGCCAACTTTGCAAAATTTAAATTTCAAAGCATTCTGGGCACCGTATCGTATCGAGGTTCAGAATACCAGTTTAATCTCCTAACGCAGAAGCCTGTACTTTCAACCAGTGTATCTTTTGGCATATAAAGCTTCTGTGACATGCTCTGATACTATGGGAATTACTAACATGATTACATGAAGCAACAGATGGAAGTTGGAAGCATTTTATTGTCCTCAATCCAAACCTGTCTCTTTCTTAGAGAACGCCTTGTTCGGGCTACTTCGAAGGGCCATAACCCCTCCAAAGTGCCCCATTACGTACCCTAATACCTGTACAGTCGTCCCTCTCTAATCCGGCACTTGTTTATCCGGAACCCTTGCCAACCGGCGCACTTTCTGACGAAACCGATTTTTTTCGTTCAATTCCTGCATCTTAATCCGGCACTTGAATTCCGCCTCCGGCAGTGACTTTTTGAAACGAATCGCTCAAACTGCACGTAGTTTGATTTCATAATCCGGCAGTCGTAAATCGCGTACCGTACAGGTGCACTCCTTGCCAGGCCAGGCTAGGCCGGTCTGGTCAGTGCCGCGCGTGCGCGGGGCAACTTCAGAGTACAGTTCAGTTGACAACTGTACTCGACCTCGCGCGGGAAAGTTCAGTTCGGTTGGTTGTTAGGACTTTTCCGAACCCTAACTCAATTTATACAAAGAGAAGGACCAAGGAACTACAAGTTACACTATAATGTCCACTAACATCACCAGTTACTAAACAATCAGCTTATGCGATAACATTGCACGACACTGACCGACGGTACTGACGTTCTACAACTAACTACAAAGTTCGACCTGCATGATGTCGACTGCTTGCGTGGCCTTCTCAAGAGGGTCAATGTTGTCCGGGAGACAACGGCTAAGCAGTCAACCATACTTTCTTATTCTAGCAAGGAGTAGTGTCCTGCCAATTTTCAGGTGTGTGTGTGTGTGTGTGTGTGTGTGTGTGTGTGTGTGTGTGTGTGTGTGTGTGTGCGTGTGCGTGTGTGTGGAAGAGTACATGTGAACATGTTCTCTGTTTTACTTTATCACTTTATTACTGTGTATATTCCTCGAGAAAAGTTGAGAATATAAAGCCGTGCACCAAATACTTGGGTCGACACGGAAAAACTCTGCGTTTTGACGTATGATACATGCATGCAATTGGGTAGGGCCGGGTCAGAGGGCAGGATTTCTTAATCCAGCACCCTCGTTAATCCAGCGGAAAACGCCGTAGCAAAAGGTGCCGGATTAGAGAGTGACGACTGTATTGATTTTCTCATTCTGGACACTCATAGCATTGCAAAAAAAAGGTGTCAAACTGGTGAATTTTCGGAAAAAGTATTTCGGCATGAGCCACCTTAGAAACTTCTCTTTGCTTTTCGTTTTCACACTCCGGGAACCACTCGTCTTCCTTGTCATTGGTATCTTCCAGCATAGTCGAGGAGCCAAGTCAGCAAAAGTCCAAGGAATAAGAAGTTAGTGTGACACCCTGTCCAGGAAGGATTTTTTGATGGATTTGGAATGGCATAACAACCAGCAAATGACACCTGAAAACCAGAATGTGCCAAAGTTGTCCGTTCAAGAGTTATGGCCTATTTACTAAAATTTCCATGGTTACCATAGCAACGTACATGTAAATTGCCTCTTTTTAGCCCGAGAGACATGCAATATGGGTCAAATAGATAATAAATGGCTGTCAAAGTCATAAGTGAAGATAAAAGTTCCCAAAACTGCCTTCAAAATAAGTGAAGATAGAAGTTCCTGAGGAGTCTTGTTGGGATGTCGTCAAACCCAGGGGCTTTGCAAGGATTAAGGGCTCCTAGGAGCTGTTCTACCTCGGCGGGTGTGGTTGTGCTTTGGGCAAGCTCTCTCTCGCCGGATGTTGGTAGAAGGATGTCGGGGACTGGCTCGTTGTCAACTGAGACGGACTTCTTGCTTTCTGAAATGAAGAAGCTGTTGAATGCTTCTGCCTGATCTAAGTTTGATGTGAGCTTCCTGCCATCATGGTTCAAAGCTGGCATTTCCTTTCTTGGTGAAATTCGAAGGGTCTTCATAAGTTTGTAGAGGTTTGGGCGGTTTGTATGGGTTTGGTCACAGTGGTTGTCGGCATTGGCTGGTTTATGAACGAATTTGGACTTGGCACTGCGGAGAAGAGTTGTTGTCTTGTTTCGCCAAGTTGTGAACTGGTCCCAGTCTTCAGCCGTCCGTGTGGAGGTATTTCCTGTATAACCTGTGCTTTGTACGGATATTATTTACCAGATCAGGCGTCATCCATGGGCGTTTTGGAGACACTGCAGATGATCTCGTCAACCGGAGTTGAGTGCAGAACTGGTGTGCAGTGCGAAGTAGAGTGTCACGCCAGAGCGACCACAGTTCGGTCAGCGAATATGACGGCAAGTCAATGTCGGGTGGCAGCAGTTGAGTATACGCTAGCGCTTCTCTCAGGGCGCCAACGTTCTCTGAATTCCAGTTCCAGGTCCAAGGTGGTAGGTTACGTCTGCCACGCTCATCTGCTGGTGGCTGCAAAGAGATAGTTCTCTGGATTGCTAGGCGATCTGAACACCCAAACGGTGCTCTGGAAGTGAGTGTGACCTCCTCCAGAGGGAGATTGGAGATGACTAGATCGAGGCACGAATTTAGATAGCCTCGGCAGATGTGGGTGGCAAAGTTTACATGCTGATGGAAACCATATGCATCAATAAGATAGCTAAGTGCGTCACCAGGTCTGTCTGTGACATCAGAATCCAACCAAGAGCTGTTCTTGGAATTTAGGTCGCCGAAGAGGATGAATGGCGCTGTGGTGTTACATTTCCCGAGACACAATTCAAGTTCGCGGCAGAGCAAATTCGGTTCAGAGTTTGGTGGTCTATACGTGCATCCCACGGTGACTGTACGATCTGAGAGTGTAAGCTCTATCCACAGTGACTGGAAGCTTGGCATGACGACTGTTGTTAGGCGTTTGTGGCAGGTAGGGGCATGTATGTATAAAGCAACACCTCCACCCATCGTTTCTGTTCTGTCCTGTCTGTAGAGTGTGTAATCTGGAATGTCATAGAATGAGTCTGGCTCCATGGGGTTTGCCCATGTTCCGCAGACAGCAATAATATTAGTGTGGGCGTGATGCGTGGGATAGTGGGTATGAGCTCGTCCATTTTTCGGCCCAAGCTCCTAGCATTAAATGTTAAAAAAACTCATTCCTAGGAAAATTAGGTAAAGACATACAACATGCTGGAGCCGAAAGAAGGCATAGGACAAAAGTATAATATTATGCAAGAAGGCGAAAATGGTGTAAGTGCGAGGATATTACGTTCCGTTCTGTATGTGTGGATATCTTGCACTCACCTAGGACTGTCTGGGTTCGCCTTTTCAACTTCTTCTTGTTTCTGGGTGCATTGGCAGTGGCCCCGCGAGGTCTTTCAGGTGTGACACTGCTTCGAGGGCTTCGAGGGCGTTTGGAGCTATGTACTTGACAACCGTCTGAGTCCATGTCAGAGTCGCTGCCGGACTTGGTGAGGCGGCCTTGTGACATTGACTGTGCGAGGTCACCAATTGCCTTAGCTGGCAGCTGGAGCTGTGTTTGCGAATCTTGTTGTAGGTTGAACGGTCTGGGCGGTGATTGGTTGAAGTCAGGTAATGGGAGTTCCTCAGATTCTGATGAGCAAGCTGATGCAGCCTGATTTTCATCCGTGCTGCGACCTGGGACTTCCTTGTTAGGGCGAGAGAGTGTGCTCATTCTTCTTCTTCTTCTTCTTCTTCTTCATCTTTCTAAATTTCAGCAGCAATATTGCTTGCGCGTGAAAAGTTTTAAATTTGACTGTAGTGGTATATCCCTGGACATTTAAATTAATTGTTTTATTTTGAACAACCCAGCCCTGTGTTTATTGCTCATTATTTAGCATATACTATAACACGTGTAGTTTTCCTCACTGTTTATTTCTATTGCATGATTTGCATCAGGAGATCCCCTCGACAGGCCATCGCCTCTGGGAGATCGTTTAATAAAGATTATTCCCGTAGCTATGCAGAAGACGTTACTTCAGTAACGTCTGGCGCTAGCCACGGTCCACACAGCTTTAATTCCCATAGCTTTGCAGAAGACGTTACTTCAGTAATGTTTGGCGCTAGTCGGGGTCCACACAGCTTTAATTTGGTGTTCTTTTGTGTGTTT